ACAACTTTCCACAAGTCGATTAAGTGCTCTGTGGAGTCACCTACAGGGGAGTACTTTTTCGAATGAGTAGATGCATATATTGAGAAAATTGGGCAGAGAATGTCATCTATATTGTCACAAACAAACACTTCTACAAATATGACAATGAATGAGAAATTGAAGAAGAGGTCACATATCTTGTGGACCGGTTGCGAAGCCCACATAGTTAACATGATTCTTAAGGGCATCAAGAAGTTGTTATACTTCAAATCAGTCAAGAAAGTGAACACAATAGATGTCTGGAACAAGGGACACTATAGTGAAATAACGACCCAGGTTCAATCGCCTTGGAAAGTGAAACACGAGCAAATTGAGTCGCATAACCAACGACCTGATCTAGAATGTAAATTAGTTGTTTTGAGAAAAATAACATCTTTAGAAAAATAAACAACAAAAAGTGTACCTCAACTTCAATTATCATTATTGATCCTTGAATTTGACTCTTATAGAAAATTGTACATTAAAGCACTCAAATTCCTACATTTAAAAACCATACCTAAAGTGTACCACATTCCCTAGCGTGTCATATAAGCCTACCACCGAGTACCCGATACCAAATAAGTGGCGCATCATGCTTCTCTTCCCATTCTGTGAACCAGAACTAACAGGGTTCCATGCAAATGCAAATATGGTAAAGACCTTTATTATCTTCATATACAACCACCACAATACATTTTCGATGATGTGTCACATGTGTGACAAGAAGATTGTTAGACCCAGAGCCACCTATTTCGCCATTACATTCTTGACACTGTGGAGTATTTATGAAAAGCTGAAGCTGTGACTCATGTTCTCTGATAAATAATGTAGGAAATGAAAGCTTACCAAGACCGCAAAAAGCAAAAAGGTAGAAGGAATTGTGCTAAGTGAGACTTTGAAGCAATTTCTAAACAATATACTAAGAGTCTATGCTCCACTTTTTCACATGTTGAGGATGGTTGATAGTGTCTAGTCTACAAACTCTCAATTAGATATGTTGTCGTATGCTTGAAGACACAAAGTAGGAGAGTATAGTTGCTTTAAAGAATAAGGATTGGTGGCGATTAATATTAATGATGTCAAGACTAAGGATCAATTATATATCCCCTTGTGTATGTAATCTATGTCCTTTGTCCTCACTAACTCTACCGAGATGATGTGACCAAGAACTGTGTGAAGGCAAAGGAGAGGTTTCCAGATGCAGTGGAGTTATCTATCATGATGCGGAATAAGTTGAGGCTTCTAGGGAGTTCCAATAGAAGTACGGAGAGGAAAAAGGTTTATTTGGTAGGAGAGGCACAGAAAGCGAAAATGTTTACTTGGTACGGTGGGTGGTGAAGGGTAGGGAGAAAGTAGACTTCAACTTAAGTAAAACAATTTTGTAAATTGAATCACTTATAAGTTATTTGTTGTGGTAGTGAATTAACTAATAAATTGTGTTTTGCAGCTAGTTAGTGGGATATATATGGCGGTTAGCGTTGAAGCTTCTAACCCCACAAGTAGTTCTTTTGAATGCAAAAGAAATTGGAGCACATTGAGGAGATAAGTTACATGAATATCTAAAATTAATAAGATGAAACTATCTCTATTTGACTTTGTTAACTTGTTCTTTTCTTCTTTGGAGATCCACACGAAGATGAGACAGATAAGAATCAAAGAAGTTGGAGGACCTTGTGTATGTGAAGTTCAATTTCAAGGTTAAGAAAAAGAAGACGAGAGGAGAAGACAAGGATGTTTCGTACTAGGGCACATGCATAGCTCTTAGAAGGTAGTGTTGTCAATGCACAAGGCGCAATGCAAGGCGCAAAGAAATATTACGCACACATGCGCAAGGCACAACGTGATGCGCGCGCTCGAGTGATGTGAGGCGCACGCCGCACATAATTTTTGAATATATGTAATCAAGCGCGAAAGAACATGTTTTAAGAAATTACATGATAAATAATAACTTACTACAAAATCACAATATAATGCCTTAATTCTAATGCTAAAACCCAACATAGTAGCAAAATTCATCAATTTTCAAATCAAATGTTAAATCAAGACTAATATCCAAGCAAAAGATTAGTAATGGTCTCAATTGAAGGCTATTAAAAAGGCCTAATGGATGTATTTTGCTTTTTGGTATATGAAATATCAAGTACAAAGACTCAATTGAAATGTTAATAAACAAAACTATATGGGAATATGTACTACATGCACCCTGCACAAAGTAAGGATGTACACGATACGCAAAAGGCGCTGCTGCATCAGATGTAGGACGCTTCGTCACCGCCCTGCATCGTAAGGCGCATGAGGCGCAATGAGGCGTGCGCCTTTGAAAACACTAGAAGGAGCATCCTTTGATGATGAGGAAGAGCTTATCCATGTTAGAATGTCACTTGAACAGTGGTAGACACTATCTGGAGTGCTTGAGGCTGTGACAAACTAGAGGAGTGAGACAATAGCAACAAAACCTTCAACAATTGTTCACGAAGGATGGCTTCTTGCCTCCAACGACAATGTGGCGAACAAGGAGGAATGTGTGGACATGAACTCGAAGGATAGTGATGGTACCGTGAAGCATCGTTGCGCAATTCCCCAGACCCCACCTTGAATCATCGTACAGTTCTTATGAACCAATTTGCGGTATATTTGAGAACCGAATCACTTCGATACATGAACGGGTTCCCCAAAATTGGTGTACCACTTATAAGTTTACTAGATGAAAAAGTATCTTTTAAGTGCACGTTTCGCAAGACGCAATGCAATGTGTACAATTAAGTGAAAGGAGACACAATAAAGTATATGAGCTGATGAGTTTATTATAACTAAACACGTATAGTAATTAAATGTAAAAGGAACCATGATCTAAAACGAGCTCTGTGAAAAAAAAACAGAACAAAGAAACAAACTCCATCACAAATAAGTAATTAAGTATTTTATATAATATTAAAATTCATAATTAACTTTCTAGTTTTCTACTATATACTTTGAAAAACTTTAAATACACCAAAAAAATTTTACGACATACCACTAACCGAACTTGTGTACCGAAGCAAGCTATCATCTAACGATCCAAATTTTCTAAGTGGCGAATTACGTACCCGAATTCGTACCGTGACCTGTTACATACCACACATTGTGTAACTATGCCATGGAGGATTCCATGATGATAATGATGATTAGATTTAACGATTATGTCACATGTTAGAATGTTTTTTTTCCTTTTGCATTATGCTTCTAATTCGGATATCATGTGTCATTGACATCGACTTATTGTGTTGGACTTGTTGGTGATTCTCAGTATTTATTATTTAATCTATTTTTGCACGATTTGATTGTGAATAAATAGCTTGTAGTATCAATCAATTACGAATAGACCCCCCTTGTAGTTCCATTTGTTGTGAGTACACTCCGAGTTCTAAGTAGCATTAGCCCAGGGGCGAATACACCCCCCTAGCAGGTGCTAGTCAACAAGGATATTTTCACACGAAATAGGATAATTGCTAGTGAAACAATTTTTTGTTGGTGGGATATTTTAGTGGGAAATTTTATTGGGATAAATAGGAACAGTTTTATGAAGCGAGATATTTTGATAAAATAATGTGGGATAAATTTTTTTTAAATCATGAAGTATATATTTATTCATTTTAAGGATATAAATACTATTCATGTATTTTAAACTTATTATTATTGATTGATAATTGTTTACGAAAATGTTAATCACTATTAAATATCTTTTGATTAGACTAAAAGATATTGACAACTATTATTATAATATATGTTGTAGCTTTTTTAAAACTATTATTATAGTACAAGTCTAAAAAAAGTTCACATTTCCTTCCTTTTTTGCTCCTCAAGATCTTATTCCCTCATCTCTCAATTTTATTGCTTAATAAATTATAGATCGATATAATCTTTTCTTTTAAATTAATTATATAATATTCGATAAAAAACGAAAATATCAGAGATGACTAAGAGAGACGAGATCTGATCTAACGATATAGTATAATGAAGGTGACCATTGAAGGAAAGAAGTAAAGAGAAAAAAGAAATATAAAGAATTAAAAATAATAAAATAAATAGGAGTTTCAATTTTTTATCGTCTAGTTCCAAATTAAAACTTAAGATAATTTGACAGAATAGGACTCTCATTTTTGTATAGGAAAATAAAAGAAAGGGATAATTTTGTACGATTATCCTAGTTCTACTTTTCTTAGAGTTCTAGTTGACTAATGCTGTAAAAATTTTCTTCTAGTTTTAGTTCTAGATGAATAACACTACAAGTTTTAGTTCTAGATGAATAACACTACAAAATTTTATCCCACAAATTATTCTAGTTCTAGTTTTCAGTTATAGTTTTCAGTTCTATTTGACTTACCCCCCCCCTGAATTTTTCAACTCTTAATAATAAAAAATAGCAATTGACAGCTTATCCTCACCAATAGAATTATAGGGGAGTCTACCATACTCCTCAAACCACTCGGGTGTGTACTTGCAAAAATAGAACCCAAGCGTGTCTATTCGCAATTGAGTAAATATTATAGTTTTTAGTCACTTATTGTAATTAAAATATAAAAATAAAAAAGAAAAGGCCTAGGTCCGCCTAGGCTCCAGCGAGTCTAGCTAATAGACAGCCTAGCACTTCTTGTGACCTTAGAAATATTTAATAAAAACACAATTTCCTTAGGAACTGAAGAGCATAACATTTCCAAGAAAGCATAGGAATAATCATATTTCAACTTCAAGATAAAACCCTAGTTTTTATCAGTTATAAGGGAGTTATATGTTTCAACTTTCATATATAATGTTCAGCTTCAATCAAGTATAGAACCAATGCAACTTAAAACAATGACCCTAAAATGATTAAGAATTTAAAATTGGTGAATAAATTCCTTAAAAAATGCACAGCTGAGAGTTTTCAATTTATTGGAAGCACTTGAAAAAACGGTAGTGAGAGATATAATAGATACATTAAACTAAAATTATAAGTCACTAACCAATGGCTTGTTTGCGTCTGTTCCATAGTCATAGATTGGTTGACTGCAATAATTTAACATGGAAACCAATTAGTTGACACTGACAAAACGCAGAATACAAAGCTATATAAAAACCAAGGATAATAATCACACTAGTCAATTTACCAGAAGGCATTATCTATCGCAAGACTAACATGAATATATATCATTAATCTAATATAGATAGAAATAAACAATGAAATTGTGCTCAAGTAGTGTCTTAACCTTTGTGTAGAAGGATAACCTTTTGTGCTGTAAGCAGAATTACCCATTCCAGGCATGTGAATATTGCTTCCAACTCCTGTCAGTGTGCAAGGTGTGACAAACATGTGCAACGTGAGCTTTCCGAAAACCGTGTATAAGTGACTAATATTCGCAGGCACAACCAAAGTAACCAGAAAGTTTGTCAGGCCAGTGCACCTAGGCCTCAAACAGAGAATGTTAATAAAGTTTATATATTATCTTAATTGTGTAACAGTGACGCCTCACCCGCCTCAGCCTCACTTGGATATGCTGACAATTATTACATAATAAAATCATTATCATCAGAATTTTAACTGATTATGACAAAATAATGTACTGACATAACTGAGATAAACCAATAGGGACAAATACTTAATTTATGATAATACAGGCATTTATACTTCATAGTAACATGCAACAGATCAAAGATTCAAATTACCTGAATCGAGATAACTCCTTGAATATGCAACAGTTTCCCTAATTCTTTTATCAGGAGAGTAAGGGACACTGGTATCTGAGTTAATGAAATTTAAATCAGCTCAAATATATACAAAACTAGGCCACAATACTGAATTAGGAAAACTAATCCTTCTTAATGAAGAAATTAAAAGAAGCAAACTGCGAACCACTTCTCAAGCGTTTAGATCTAGAATTGGCCTTAGCAAAATCAACATGCAGAATTGATTCATTCTCAATGTCAAAAACCAGCCCCTGCCAACAATAATATTATAGATGTATAATTAGTACAAATACATATATCACTCCCCTTGGGTACCATTTCTCAATTTTATAGTATGTAAAAGAAATAATTAAATAGAAACATAAAGAGTATTATTGAACACAAGCCTAATTATCAGAAGAACAAAGATCTTGCAGAAATAATTCAACAAATCAATTTCACGGGTGATGAGACAAATAAACACAAAACATAAAATAAAATAAGGGCAATTACAGTCACGATTTTGGGAGAGGAACTAAAGTTTAGGCTGGTCATGATTATGTCTGATTTTTCTATTTTTGTGTCTTTGTACATGTATTTAAATGTATTAGCTTGAAATACCTGTGCATGTGTTCTATTTGTACATAAAAGCCTCCATCCTACTAAAGAAATGATACAATTCAAACAAGTTATGCGAAAATCAAATACTTGGGAGTTGATGTTATCCAAGATTGTTGCTTCCTTACATTCAAGGATTGCATTGCAGTGACTGCAGATTGTTGATCAGCAAAAACGGCAAATGCATATGCCTGCACAATAGTAAACTACGTTAGAGAACAGCAGGACCGAAAACATGCTATTATGTTAATGGTATTAAAAGTTATATTGTTGCTAAAAACTTCTTCAATATCAATGGAGGAATCCTAGTTTATTCAGGATTGAAGAAATCAAATTTAGATTATAGTAACTTGATTTTAGTTTGAGTTTAGTTGGGATTAGAATTAATCATTTGATTTGGCTTTTGAGGCTAGTCGTTATTTTGTTTTGGATCTATGAACTGTAGTTGTATTGGGTCACCTTATAATCCAGAAAATATTTGGTCGTGCATAAAGATTAGTCGATAATTTTGATTATTTGAAGAATTGGACTGTGTGATTCAGTGATTTGCTTCTGATGGTGGGAGAAAACAAGCCCTAAACCTAATTTCTCTCTTCTCCGCTCTAAAGCAGTCGCCTCTGCCCCATTCTTTACCACATCATTTTTTTTCCATCCCAAGATCTAACCTCCATCATCTCTTTGCTTCCATCTAGTCCCACCATCCTCCAGAACTCAAAATTCCAAGCCCCTTATCTTTCATAGAAGGCATACAACATAGAGAAAATAAGGAAAGAGTTTAAAAACAACTTTGACCATTGCTGCCACTGTCATGCCTACATAAGCAAATTCAAAGCAAATTCGGGTTCCGATAAACTGCATGATGTTATTGTTAACTCAATGTCAATATTGACCACAGAAATAATTGTATTTTAGATGTCAAAGATGATGCTGAATGGTGTGTTTATGATTTTTTATCAA